GAACAGGTGAGCTCTAGTATCCGACCTTATCCACAAACTTGCATATTCGCTCTCCTCCGTGTTAAACGGTTCCTTACTGTTTACATAAATACTTAAAGCCTGACAAATCCAGTCCTCAAATGCACCATATATCAGACAGTACAAATGATCTTGCCTTTTTTGTTTTCCTCCCCACACCTCCATACAGTAGTGCACCATCTTCTCCCTCGACTTTCCTTCCTAGAGGTGTAATCATTCCAATACTTAATCATTATCCCTAAAGGACTATCCTGTGGTATGTCTGGCAATTTTACTGCAAACTCATTCTTAACCCGTCCCTCCCCCTGGGGAATGTTTGGCTATTTCTCCTTGTGGCTACTCGTCTTAACCTCAACTCCAAATTTCTCCTCAGTTTGAGGGACATCCTGTTGTATCTCACGACCACCCATGGGAGCAGAAAATTTACTTTTCTTCTGTCCCATCTTCCGAAGTGCCTTCTCTCACATACACACACTTCACTCGCTTCCCTTCTTTTGCGGCCCGGTCCCTAGTGGGATACGGGAAACGCACTACCGGAAGGTCTGCACTCGCTTTGTCCCGACAGACGTCTCAGTTATTCACACTCCGGGACCCCTCCCAACTGAAAAGGGGTTCTGCAAAATACTTACCTCGCCCTGGGTAAGGCTTCGTTCAGCTCCTTGCCGAACGGTCCCTTCCCCAACCGGACGGATCTCACTAACACACTTACTGCTCCCAAGTAAGTCTTCGCTCAACTCTAAGTCGAGCGACCCCTCCCGACTTCTCTTCTTGTAACTGTTCAGTTCATAATTCAAGAAAGCTTTAACTAGGCTTATTGCAACTTATTCTACTCAATTTAATTTGATTAGCAAATTATAGGTTTTGCTCTTCATCACCTATTACAGAGTTATTACAAAAACAAGACAGGTTGTGGAGTTCACTTGAAGGGCAAAGCAAGGGACGTGGTTTTACCAACCTCCTATTTACAATGACCACCTTTCCATCCTCTTTTTTCTCTATTTCCTCATTCTTGTTCCTCCACAAACTTCTATGATCCTACCCTTGCTTTTGTTCTTCCCTAAACATCCCATGACAAGTCTTGCCCAGTCCCCAAATACCCTTTCTGGCTGCCCATCATGAGTCTCTGACCCCGAGGCCCAATTCAACCATCCTCAGCTTCAAGGTCACCCTGAGAGGTTCTGCCATTGACCCACTTGCTGAAAGTTTCATGCAGATACCCTGGAACTCCTTTGAATTCATTTTTTACAATTTGGGCTTAGAAGGATTTCTCCAAAAACACAGCAATTCATGTCCTCAACATGGAAATTCTTTGAAGAAGGAGACTGGAACTTTAAACTGACAAGAATCACAGAATGATTTGGGTTGGAAGGGAGATAAAAGGTCATCTGGGATAAGTCCATGGACATGGACAGTGACATCTTTTACTAATTCAGGTTACTCACAGTCCTTGACCTTGCACAAATCCAGGCTTGGGACATCCACTTCTCCGGAAAGCTGTTTCAGTTCTCGCTGCCCCTATTGTTCAGTCTTTCCTCTTATTATCCAATATAAAACTTTTCTCTTTCAGTTCAAAGCCACTGCCCCATGTTATGCTACTACAAGTCTTGGTAAAAAGTATCCCTGTGATATCCTTAGACTTTGAGCAGGACATTTTCATCTGCAAAGACATTACAGAGTGCCCAGAGATCTCCCCAGAGGGGGTTTCAAAGTCTCAAGCCCATGACCACTATAGAGAGGCTAAGGAGCTGTGACCTCAATGGTGTGGAGACTGAGGACAGAACAGAACAGCCCTCAGAGGGCTTAAAGGGAGGATTTAGAGATGGTGGATCCTTCTGTCATAGCAGAAAACAGCAGGAGAAAGAAAGAACTAATGCCAAGTCCAACTGAGGAGGTCCAGAGTGGAAAAGAGGAAAAAGGAATTGATCTCCAAGGGCAGTGCTGTGGTGCAACACATCAGCCAGGAGGAGTCTGGATGAGCCCAAGGCTTTGTGTGTGCAGGAAGAGCCAGGGAGGACGCAGAGATGTCAGTGCAGGAAAGGGCCAGTGAGGTGCGGCAGCCGGGGGGATGACAACAGCCTGCAGGGAAAGGGGCAGGGCATGGACACCGTAGGACAGCCTGGGCTGCACAGCAGAGAGGCCTGTGCAGAAGTTGAAAGGCCCTGACACAGCCACGTTCTGCAGGCCTTTGGACATGGCTGCTGGTTGTGCCCCTGATGCCAGGAGGAGACAAGTGGCCCTTGCAACCCTGGGGCCTCCTGGCCTCCTTGTCCCTGCTCAGCAGCCTGGGAGGTGCCACCCCATCGTCCTGCCCTTGGCACTGCACATCCCACATCCCAGTCCCCCAGGAAGAGCCCTGAGCAATGAGGCAGGGACAGGATCTTCCTTCCCAGGGGTTGGGGGTCAGGCCTTGGTCCTTTGGATTAGGGAAACACATCCA